CAGTGGGCGATGAAGAGATGCGAGTGGGAGGCTGAGGAAGAGGAGGAGGAGGAGGAGGAGAAGGAGGAGGAGGAGGAGCAGGAGAAGGAGAAAGAGGAGGGGGAGTTAGAGGAGGAGAGGGAGCATGAGGAGGAGGAGGGGGAGTGAGGAGGAGGACGCGGATGAGGAGGAGAGGGAGGAGGAGGAGGAGGGGGAGGAGGAGGAGGAGAAGGAAGAGGATTGCGATTCTGGGCGGCTGGCGTCGCGTGGCGTTTTCGGGTTCGAGCTCTCCAAGGCTGTGCGTTGCAGGCTGCGCGCGCGGGTCGGGATGTCGTGGACGGGGTGGTGGTGGGATGATGCTCTGCATGGGTGGCAGCTGGTGTCGCCGCATCAGACGTGGACGTGGGTGGCGGGGCGCGGCGGTGGCGGCGGCTGGCGGCGCGTGCACGTCATGGGGGCGGAGTTCGTGGAGTGGCTAGGAGCGCGTGGGCTGCAGGACTTTCGTTTGGTGGGGGAGGGGCATCCTCGGTGTCAGCGCCAGCGGGCGTGTGTGTGTGTGTGTGTGTGTGTGTGTGTGTGTGTGTGTGCTCGTGTGTGTGTGTGTGTGTGCGGGTGTGGTTCGGGTCTGCGCTGATGCTCTCCTGGAGGAGAAGTGTGTGCGTGTGCGGTGCGCGCGTGCGCGTGTGTGTGTGTGTGTGTGTGTGTGTGTGTGTGTGTGTGTGGGGGTGTTATGTTTGTGTGGGTGTTTTTGTGTGTTCGCCAGTTTGCATTGTAGTTGCTGTTTTCCGTTGTTGGTGGGGGCGTGTCCGCGTCTTCGAGGAGGGCGCGTGAGTTCGTTTTTCGATCAGAGATTGGTTATGTGGGTGTCCTAGCGCATTTGCATGCTTAGGTGAGGTGTGCCGCTGATGTGGTGGTCGGTTCCGGTTGCCCGGGTGCTGGTGTGCACGGGGGGGCTGGTTGCCCGGGGGGGTGCTGGGGTGCTCAGGTTCTCGTGGGTGTTCGGGGGGTGCCCGGGGTGTCCAAGCGTCCGATGGCTTCGTATTCGCATGGAGGCATAGTTTTATAGCTATGATACCAGAGGAAAAAGCCATAATATTGCTAGAGGGCTATATGGCCATTGGGATATATGGCTAAAGGGCTTTAGGGATAAGGGGGTATAGGGCTACGGACCTAAGGATTATAAGGCTATTCGGGCTATAGGGGTATAGGGCTAGGTATAGGGCTATAGGGCTTTAGGGCTTTCGGGCCATGGTGCTATAGGGCTACAGGGCTTCAGGGCCACAGGTCTATAGGGCTATGGGGTTATGGGGCTATTGGGCTATTGGGCTATAGGGCTATAGGGCTATAGAGCTATAGGGCTATAGGGCTGTAGGGCTAGACGGTTATATATAGGGCTATAGGGCTAAGGGCTGTAAAGGCTTTTAGGGTCTGAGGGCTACACGACTGTAGGGCTACATAGGGCTTTAAGACCACAGGGCTATAGGACTATAGGGATATAGGGCCATAGGGCTATAGGGCTATGGGGCTGTAGGGCTACGGGGCTATGGGGCCATTGGAGTATTGGGCCATCGGGCGATAGGGCGATAGAGCTACAGGGCCATAGGGCTACAGCGCTAGAAGGATATAGGGGTACTTGGGCTAATGGGCTACTGGGCTACAGGGTCATTGGGCTGTTGGGCACCCCCGGGCACTTCTGGGCATCCACGGGCACCCTGGCACCCCCGCGCACTCGGTCACGCATGCACCCCGGCCCCCCTGGGCACCTTCGGGCATCCGTGCACCTGGGCCCGGCCACCGCAATCGGCGGCCGATCTCACCTCAGTCTTTAATCCGCTAGGACCTCTACAGAGGCAAACTCTGATTGGGGAATATGGCTACATAGCCTTAGTTTGATAGCTCTATTGCTTTATAGTGCCAAAGGCCAATCACTGTGTTTCCTTTAAGCCATTCATCTGTATAGCATAATGGGCTCATGGCTCAATAGGTCCACAGTGCTTTAGCGCTATACTCTTATAGCTTTAGACGTCCACAGCCGTGTAGCTGTCTGGGCCTATATCTTCCTAGGCATGTATAGGCTTATTGCTGTACTTGTTCTGTATGTCTTCAGCCGAATAGGCCTGTAGCTTTAATGCCCTAGAGAATCATGGCTGTAGAGGTCTAGAGGCTGATAACTCTGGAGGTATGTACCTGTATAATCATATAGCTTCATCCGCAGACAGTGCTGTATCTATGTTGCGCTATAGCTTCAGAGCTCCCCAGTGTTCTGATTGGGTTATTTCCAGTGTAGCATGGGTATCGTTTTTTCTGGGATCTGGAGGACTGCGCGCCGGCGCTGGCTTCCCTTGGGGCGGTGCAGATGGGTGACCTCATGTACTTAAAGGAGGCGGATTTGACGGACGTGGGTCTTTCCGTCGTGGAGGCGCGGCGCGTGCTTGAGGGGGGAACATCGGCGGCGGCTGCGCATGGCGACGGTGCGGGGGTGGCTGGTGGGGGTGGCATTGGCGGCGGTGGCGGATTGATGCGGTTGGCGGCCGGGGATGGGGGTGGTGCGGCGGAGCATGCCGGCGAAGCCGGGGCGGCGGCGTCGTCTGGCGGTGGTGGTCGCGGCGGGGCAGCGGCGGTGACTGTTCGCGGGAGCGGTGGGGGCGCGGCGGTGCGTCGCCGCATCGTAGGGAAGAGGCCGGCGCTGCCGTGATTGGCGTTCGGCGGGGCGCTGTGCTCGCCGACCGGTGGAGGGAGGGAGGATGAGGAAAAGGGAGGACGGAAGGAGGATGGGGAAGGGAGAGATGGATGAGGATGAGGAGGAGAAGGAGGAGGAGGAGGAGGAGGAGGAGGAGGAGGAGGAGGAGGAGGAGGAGGAGGAGAAAGAAGAGGAGGGAGGAGGAGGAGGAGGACAAGGACACCAGTACGTGCCCTCGTCTGCGTTGTTCCTCTCCTCGATCTGCTCCTTCTCCTCTTTCCATCTCGCATTCTCCTTCTCTTTTCGCGTAGTTAGTTCTTCTGCTGCGTCCTTCTTATCGTTCCCCACTTTCGTTTTATATTTCATGCTGCGCCTCCTAGTTCCTCCTTCCTTTCCGCAGTTGTCGTCGTCGTTGTAGTTCCTGGTGTCTTTGCTGTCGTCATCGTCGAAGGAGGAGGAGGAGGAGGAGGAGGAGGAGGAGGCGGAGGGGAGGAGGAGGAGGAGGAGGAGGGAGGACAAAGGACACCAGTACGTGCCCCCTTTAGTCTCTTTTGTTCTCTGCGTTGGTCCTCTCCTTGATCTGCTCCTTCTCCTCTTTCCACTCGCACATTCTCCTTTCTTTAACGGTAGTTAGTTCTTCTGCTGCGTCCCTCTATCGTTCCCCACTTTCGTATTTATATTTCATTGCTGCGTCTCTAGTTCCTTCTCCTTCCGCAGTGTCGTTCGTCTTTGTAGTTGCCTTGTGGTTTGGTGGTTGTCTTTGCTTTTTTTTTTCTTCTTCTTTTTTTTTTTTTTGGTTCATTTTTTTTTCGCCTTTTTGTTTGTTTGTTGTCATTTGATTGTTTTTTTGTTTTTGTTGTTGTTGTGGTTTTTCTTTCCTTTTGTTTTTTTTTTTGTTTTTTGTTAGTTTTTTTTGTTGTTTTTCTGTCTTTTTGTTGTTTTTTCGTGTCGTGTTGTTTCGTCATCGTCGATGTCTTTGTCGTCCTGTTCCTCGTGCTTTTTCTTTGCTCTTTCTCGTTGTTCTCTTATCTGTCCTTGCTCTTCTTCTTCTTCGCTTTTGCTCACGCGCGCGTTTCCGGCGCCCGGCAGGGTGCGGCGGCGGCGAGGGGTGGGAAAGCGTTGCCGGGAGCAGGGCGTCTCTCTCCTTCGCTCCTGCCTGTCATCCTGAGTCTCGTCCTCACTATCTTTTCCTTCGGTTCTTCCTTCCCCTCCCTCCCTCGGACATCCGGCGCTTTATTTAATCGCTTCGCTCGCTCCGCCGGCTCATATTGTAGCCTCGCTGGCACTTGCTTGCGTGCTCGGGGGGGGGGCATTTGGGGGGCCTCCTGGGGCCGCTTGGGGGCCTCGTGGGGGCCTTCTGGGGGCTTCCTGAGGTCCTCCAGGGGGCCTCTTGGGGCTTCTTAGGGGCCTCTTGTGGCCTCCTGGTGGCTTCTTAGGGCCGAAGGCCGAGGGCTCGCTGGGGAGGTAGGGCGCACTTTTAGGGATTAACGCTAGGGGTAGTCAAAGGGCTTACTCTTAGGGCTTGCGCTCAGGGCTACCTCTGGGGCGTACACATAGGGCTGCCCTGGGTTTACTCCCAGTGCCGACCCTTAGGGCGCACCTATAGGGTTACCGGAGGCTTGCCCCTCGGGTTTGCCTCTGGGGCTCATCTTTAGGGCTTCGCCTCGGGGCTGCCTCTGGGGCTACTTTTTAGGGTTACTCCTAGGGCCGATCACTGGGGCTTACTTTTAGGCTTGCCCCAGGCTTACCTCCAGGGCTTATTCTGGGGCTACCCTCGAGTGTGAAGCAGGGTTATCTTTGGGAGGCCCAGGCGCTCCCGGAGAGCTTACCTGTGGGACGCCGAGGGTATTGAGGAGGGTTTGCCCTAGGGAGGCTTACGGTCGGTAGAAGGGCTTAGGTTAGCTGGGCTTGCGCCCAGGGCTACCTCTGGGGCGTACGCATAGGGCTGCCTTGGGTTTACCCCCAGGGCCGACCCCCAGGGCGTACCTCCAGGGTTATCGGAGGCTTGGCCCTCGGGTGTGTCTCTGGGGCTCATCTTTAGGGATTCGCCTCGGGGCTGACTCTGGGGCTACTACTTAGGGTTACTCTCAGGGCCGACCTCTGGGGCTTACTTTTAGGCCTGCCCTAGGCTGACCTCTAGGGCTTATTCTGCGGCCACACTCGGGTGTGAAGCTGCGTTTATCTTTGGGAGGCCAAGGCGCTCCCGGAGGGCTTACCTGTGGGGCGCCGAGGGCATTGAGGAGGGTCTGCCCTAGGGAGGCTCACGGTCGGTAGAAGGGCTTAGGTCAGCTCATGGCGGGGGGGGCTGCCGACGTTCTGTGGAGCGGCGGCGTTCGTGGGGATGCTGCGGCAGGTGCGCGCAGGTCCGGAGTCATTTGGATCGAACGTTGATCGAGTGTGCGCGCCGTTGCTTCCTGGGAGCATGGTGCAGCAGAAGAGCAAACGAGGGGCTCACCTTCGTGGGGCTGGCAACGCTGTTGTGCTGACGGGCGTTGCAGCTCGGGCGCGGCGCTCGGGCCAGGGGGCTGCCGGAGCGGCAGGTGAGGAGGCGACCGGTGGCGGCGCTGGCGCTGCTGGGCCCGCGGGCGGCGGCGACGCGGCGAGCACGTCGTCGGGCGTCGTCGCGGCGGAGCGCGGCGGCACTGGCGGCGGCGGGGTTCTGGAGTACGTGGGCGGGGTGGGTGGCATGGCTCCCAGTGGTCCTGGAGGACGGCAGGCTCCATGCAGCAGCGCGGGGCGATCTCTGGTGCCTGCGGGGCGGGCAGAGGAGTCGGCGGCGATGGGTGACGTTGCGCCGGGCGGCGGCGGAGCTCGGCGCAGACGGTCGTCTCTGGACAGCAGCAGCGATGATGGCGTGCCGGGCCGTCAGCGGGCGGCGGAGGGGGGCGGCGATGGTCGTCGTCAGGGACGCTCTTCGGTGGACTGCAGCAGCGTCGGGGGCGCCGTGGGTGGACGTGGCCGCGGGGCCACGACGCTTGCGGGTGCTGGCGGCCGTGGGGGGGCGACGACTGCGCCTGGGGTCGGCGGCGGATGGGCGGGGAGGGGTCGCGGCGGCGCGGGGCGGGGCAGAGCGGTGACGGGCGCGCTGGCGCCTGGCGGCGCCGCCGGTGGTCGGCGGAGAAGGTCGTCCTTGGACAGCAGCAGCGATGGGGCCGGGTCGGGCGGCGAGCGCGAGGCGATGTTGGGCGGTGGGGGTCGTCTTGGAGGACGAGCGGCGCCGGGCGGCGGCAGCGGCGCCGACGCTGCGGGGGCGAGGCGCGGGACGCGGAGAAGGACCAGCCTGGACTCCAGCAGCGACGGGGGCGGCGTCGAGGTGGCCGCGGTCCTCGCCGGACGAGGTCGGCGGGGTCGTGGGCGGGGCTGCGGCAGAGGGCGGCGCGGCGGTGGCCGGCGCGGCGAGCTCGAGCTGTGCATGGGGGACCTGGAGGAGTGCAGGGTGTTCCAGCCGGCCTACGTGGACCCGGCCAGGTGTCAGGCGCTGCTCTGGGGCGGCGGGCTGGGCCGCCTGCAGTGTGGCAGTAAGCCGGAGCCGGGGTCGGACCTGTGCAGGGCGCATCGGACGTGCCCGCACGGGCGCGTCACGGGGCCCATTCCGGAGAAGAAGCTGGATCAGTTCCGCAGGGTGGCGTTGGGCGTCCCCAAGCCGTCGAAGCAGTGGTACTCGCGGCATTTGATGTGGGTGTACGCCGCCGAGATGCGCCGGGACCTCGAGTTCCTCAGCGAGCGCGACAAGGCGGGGCGCTGGAAGCTCACGGACGCCGAGTACGAGCGGTGCTTGGGCAAGATTCAGGAGTACGTGAGGAAACATCGAGGCCAGGGGGGTCGCTCTGGCCTGGCGGCGTTGGAGGTGGGGGCGGGCGTGCGGTCCAGGGATGACAGGGGTGCTGAGGCGGATGGCGGTCGCTACGGGGCGGAGCGCGAGCGCTACAACGGCCGGGGCGGCGGCCGCGTTTTCAAGTGGTACAGCCGTGCGGTTTTCAACAACTATTTGGCGCGGTGGGGGGCGTCCGAGTTCACGTGCACGGAGCGGCAGTGCATGGCGGCGCTCGCCGCCGTGTCGGACGAGGTGCACAAGTATCCGTCGCTGCATCATCGCCTGAAGGCTTTTGCGGGCCCGCAGTGCTACGCGCACTTGGACCCCGACGGCGGGGATTACCGCGTGCTCGTGAACGAGGACAAGGGGGCGGACGAGGAGGCTGGCGATGGTGAGCTTGTGGGGGTCTCGGTGGCCCGAGACCTTGTGGAGCCGAGCAATTGGTTCCAGTGTGATTGCTGCCGGTGCTGGCGGTTCGTGGGGCCATTGTGCGCGGCGGCCCTGCGGGAGTCTGGCTTCTTCGCGGTGCGCGACAGCGACCTGGACTGGGAGACGTGGCTGAAGCGGGCGGACGATCGGTATAAGTTTGCGAGGGCGTGCCACGACGAACACCGCGGGGAGGGGGAAGAGGAGGGCGGTGTCGGCGGCCTCGGCGACGTCGCATCTGCGGAGGTCGCGGCGGCGCCGGCGCCAGAGCGGGGCGCTGTTGCCGCGCCGCGCAGGCTGCGCCGCAAGACGTCCGCTGAGGCAGCGCCGCGGGAGGCGGGGCTCGGAGGGCGGCGCAGGCTGCGGCGGAAGGTGTCTCAGGAGGAGGCCCTGGCGGGAGATTCGGCGGCGGCTGGACGTCGGCGGGCGGGGTTGTCGGAGACGGGGGCCGGCTTGAAGCGCCAGAGGGAGGGCGATGGAGTGTCGGCTGCTGGCGCTGCTGGAGGGGGTGATGCTGGTGAGGCGGGTGCCGTGGCCTGCGACGACGCGGGCGTGGTCGGCGCGCTTGACCCGCTGCTGGACGAGCGGTCCGCGTCCGACTTCGAGGTTGCGTCGTGCGACGGCGAGCCCACGGGCGCCCCCGTGGGCGCGGCGGTTGGCGGCGGCAGCGACGGCGGCGTGCTCGCGCCCGGCGTTCGGCGGCTGCTGCATGCGGAGCTGGGGCGTCTGAGGGGCGCAGGGCCGTTGATGCAGGAGGACGAGAAGAGGCGAAGAGTGGCGGAGTCGGCGGAGGGCGCGCGGGGATCGAGAGCTGTCGGCGGCGGCGGCGGCGGCTGGGGGCGTGCCGGAGGCAGGGGCGACGTCGGTCGGGCGTTCGAGGTGGGGCGCCTCAAGGATCGGCGCTCGCTGCTTGTCTTTGAAGCCGTTCGGGGGGGGTTGTCTTCGCTGCCGGGAGCCGGAGAGAGGGCCCCGGCGCTGTCCGTGGCGCATCAGGAGAAGTTGTGGGCGGCCGTGGCAGGCGAGAGGCGGGGCGTCGCCTCGGAGTCGCTGGGGCAGGTGCTGTGGGCGGTGGCGACGGAGACTGGCGCGGAGGCGGCGGTGGCGGAGGAGGAAGACGATGAAGGGGTCGAGCGACTGATTCGGCAGCGCCGCATGGAGGCGCACTTTCGTCGGTCCTTTTTGCCGGGGCTGCGGTTGAAGTTCGAGTGCAGCATGCTGCAGACGGCGGTGGAGCGCTCCGACGGCTCGGTGGCGTGGCGCGGGGTCCGGTGCCACAATGGCGCGGTGGGGGACGGCGACCCGGACGACTTCGCGATGCTGTGGAATCCAGCTTGGCGAGTGTCGCTGGACGCTGTGGCGGCCGACGGTGTGCTGGCGCTCCCGCTGCGGCGGCCCGACTCCTGGCACGAGCCCGTGGACATGGCGGACTCCTGGGCGCGGCGCGGCGCCGATCAGAACAGGGTCATGACCGGCCACTGGGCGAAGGTAGTTCCGCCGCGGGAGGGGCCTTCCGAGGAAGGGGCCGGCGATGGGCTGGTGGGCGGTGTTCCTGTGATGGGCCGGTCGCACGTCATGGTCACGCGGTCCGTAGGGAAGGTTCTGAGAGGAGAGCTGCAGGTAGAGGCTGCGAGTTCTGGCGGCGGGCGGCGGGGGCGGCGGCCTGGGTCTGCGAAGAGGCTGAAGTTTGATCCGCAGGAGGGCCGGGTGGTGGGCTGGTTCGTGTCAGACCGGGAGATTCGGGCGCCGCAAGGAGTGCGTTGGGGCCCGCGGCGCGAGGTGCAGCTGGCGGGGCCCGCGGACGCGAACCACATGGAGGTCGTACCCCGAGGGTTATCGCACCGCTCCGCGCCCACTGATTGGAGGGCGCCGCTGGGGCTGCGCGTTCCGGGCGCCAAGGGTGCTTGGCGCAGGGCGAGCACGGAGGGGGCGGAGCGGCGGAGGTGGTTGCAGGACGGCTACGTGCCCGTGCCCGCGAAGAAGGTGCCGGTGCGTGCGGTGAAGTACGACGCGCAGTTGAGGGAGGCTGCGCTGCGGGCGGTGCAGGCCATGCACACGATCATGAGTCGCATGGTGCTCTTCGAGTGCAGGGACTGCAAGGAGCGCTTCCCGGTGTTCCACCCGGCCTATGAGCCGCCGCCGGAGATCGCGGAGAAGATGGAGGTGCTGAAGGCGGGGAAGAACGGCGTGGCGACGTGCTGCATGGCCGTGGCGTCTTGGGCGGAGTTTCCACCCTCGCCGGAGGCGATGGCGGGCGGGGAGGCGTGGAAGGAGGGCGGCTGTGACTTCGCGGGGCGGTTTTCCGGGACGTGCGTGCGGTGTCAGGCGGACATGGACTCCCAGCTCGGCGCGATGGAGCGCGCCTCGCGTCGGGCCGCCGAGCATGGCGGCGAGGGGGGTGACGCTGCGGGTGGTGGAGGGGCGGGGGCGGAGCCGGCTCCGGCCTCTGTGATCGTCGCCCTGCGCTCGGAGGAGAATCACATGGATCCGTGCTTTCGGTTTCCGTGGGATGACCTTCAGGAGCTCTTCGACGCGGCGACGGTGACGGAGGCGATGTTGTTGGCGCTGGAGCACATGCAGGTCAACTACGTCACGGTGGCGCAGTCGGGCCTGCGGAAGTTCCGGAGGAACGTGTTGTCCTTTCCGCAGGACATCGCGGTCTTCGCGATGCGGCACGGGCTGCTGAAGCAGTACCGGCCGAGGGACCGCGTGGACTCCGTCCGCGGGCCGTGGGGCGGTCTGGAGAACCCGGACAGGCCGGCCAGGCGCTGGGGGGAGGCGACGGAGCAAGAGCGCGCGGAGCACGTCATGGACGATGGGGGGTGCGTCATCTACCCGGGGGTTATCAGGGAGGTGCGGCCGGACGGCGTCTTGGTGGTGGAGTACGACTCGGGGGGCGAGGGCTTGGAGCGCCAAGAGAATGTGCGTCCGCGCGTGCAGATGCCATGGCAGCCGAAGCACGTTCCCTTGCATCTCATGCTGCGCCGGAACGTGGGTGGGAAGCGCGGTGTGCTGGAGGGCCTCAGTGTGCGCTGGCGCTTCGTGGCTAATGTGCTGCAGGCGCTGTGCGCGTATGCGGCTCCGGGGGCCGGGCCGTGGCGCCTCGACGGGGTCAGCGAGCAGGAGCCCATGCACAAGTATTACGATCGGCGGCGGTTCCACGTGATGACGGTGGAGGAGCTTCGCGCGGAGTACGCGCCCAAGATGGCGGGAGGAGCGGTGCTTTCGCCGGCGGAAGAGGCGGGTCTGACGGAGCGGGAGGCGCAGGACCTGGCTGTGGATCTGGAGACGCCCGAGCAGTTCATGGCAGCGGGCTTCTCATTGCGTTTTGTGGGGCCCGATGACGACGCTGGTGCGCGGGGCGCTGGGGTTGCGGCTTGCGAGGCGCATGACGGGGAATATGAAAAAGAGGGTGATGGTGATGCTGGCCCGGCTGCCGGCGAGAACCCGGG